AAGCCCAACCCTGCCTTTATCTTAAGGCGGTTGGTTCAGGTACCACATTTGACATTGAGGCATCCTCCCCGCCGCTGTATTCCTCCGGGAAACAGCGGCCGGATTTGCCGTGTCCAGCCCGTGCTTTACGCACGTACAGGGACAGATCAAGGGTGCTTCGTCATAATGACCAACCCCTTGTGTCCTGGGCTAACCCTTATAAGGGCAAGCCTGTTACTAAGCAACGGCTCTCCCACTGGTTTGTGGAAGCAATTGCTTTGGGGCTCATACGAGTCAGAGTTCACAGGCACCCTCGGGTCCGCGAGCTCTTTCGACTCAGGGTCTGGCTGCATCCTGGGCTCTGTCCAGGATGTCTCCCATCCAAGACATTGGTGCAGCGGCGAGCTGGTCCTCGCCGCTCACTTTTGTCCGCCTCTTAACAGGCTGGACGTTCTGCTCCCAGTGTGACTCAAGCAGTGCTGGGCACCTGGTTGAGTCAGAGCTCTACCTGTTAAGTTCTGGTTGGTTTGGTGATTTTCGAGATAAGCTCGTCTGACAATACGGGAGCTACAATTTCCCATAGTGAGACATCGAACGGAGTGTTATGAATGAGAACTATAGATTACTTACGTAACCCCAGTTCTCAGAGTAACATGAAGTGAGATGTCTCACCAGACGGCCCTCCTTGCTATGGTGAAGCGAGAAGAGGTGCTTATTTTGAATGACGCATGCGTCGTGGCGCAAGCTACTTATAGGGGGTGAATTCCCTGACGCTGACATCAAGATCACCAGCCAATCAGGATTGGCGTAATGAGATTGATGCTTCTGTTTGCTCCGCGATGAGACGCATCCCATAGTGAGACATCTCACTTCATGTTACTCTGAGAACTGGGGTTACGTAAGTAACCTATAGTTTTGTTTTGTATTATAGCCGATATCGGATGGAATCAATACATGGGCTGCACAGGTTGTCGTGTCCGACTATCACAAGTAGAATCATAATAAAAATACGCCGGTAAAATGTGCCTGTAGAAAACGGTTTATGCCACAATAGGATAGCAATTGCAAGTAGTCAGTTTAGCTTTGGTTGCTATGCTAACATCACCCATTTTATACCAGAGAAACTTTCATAACAGCGTTGTGATGCCAAACAGCGTCAATTCAGACTGACACACATTCACTTAAGGGGAACTGGGGATATTTATCAGCTGCTTGTGTGAGTCGAACAGTGAATACTTTAGAGCCGTGTGAGCTAACCGGGAGCTAACGGGAGAATAAACTCCCGTGGAAGAGCAGCCAACACTGCAGCGGTCGGTAAATGCCGCAGAAACACATTAATAAACAATGAACCACGGCACTCTGGAGAAAAGCATAAGGTTGGAGAAGTCGTTATTTAATTTAATCTGGCTTCGTGTGATTAAAAGCAACACGATCATCGACCCGACGCAGTTCCCCGTTGTTGTTGTTGTGAGCGCCGTAACGCCGTTGGGGAGCAAATCAGCGATGTAAACGGTGACGTCATGACGCAGCAGCAACAGCACCAGTCGGGCTCTGGGCGGTGTGAACAGAAAAAGGAAACCGGAGCTGAACCAGAAAAGCTCTAGCTCGGAGCTAGAAAGGGAAAAGCGCTGGTGTGAAAGCAGCATGAGAGGAGCTTTCACCTGGTTAAATAAAGGCTGTATGCATACAGGAGAGCCTTTCCATTGTTCTGAATGAGAGATAAACCTCTTACATGTGAATGTTTTGTTGAAGAACCGTAACAGATATCGGTGAAATTTCAACGCGTGAAGCATCTCAAGGACTCTGAGCATCTGAAGTGTGCTTTTTGTGTACTTCCGGGTTAATAATGTGGCCTTTTTGGCAGATTAACTAAAAGGTGTGCAGCTGCTGCTGTGAGGAAAGAGCAGCCTGAATGTACAATGGGCTTTAACCTGTTGAACCCCATCAACCCACCCCCGGGCGGAACAACGCATCATCTGCAGGAAGCAGCGTCTGAGGGCTTCTTAATATTTAATAAACTATGAATGTTTCATATCCATGTAACGGGAAGAAACTCAGCTAACTGCATTAGCCACGAGCGAACAAATCTTAAGGCTCTAGCTATACCAATCGATATACTTATTGGATCTGCACAAACAAGCGTAGATAACATCCTGAGAGTTCACAGATTATAGAAATATAAGGATCATCACTGAGCGATCAGAACTTGTGACAGGGGAAGCAAATACAGACAACACACGATGTAGCTTTAGGTAGCAAAACATGGAGATATGCTCACCTTAGCTGTTATTCTGATCAAAAGTCGTGTTCAATGGCATTAAAACGAGAAAAAACGCGGCTGAATGTTAATCCAATGAGTCTGTCACTTTGAAAAATCCATAATTCAATTTCAGTGGCGAGCCGTGACTTTTATACCTAGGCCCTCTGACCCCCCTTCCCTCGAAAACAAAGGAGATATTACGTCACAGTGTATACTTCAGTGGAATATCAAAACCGCGGCCCGGGGTGCAAAACGCATCAATGACAGTGACCCTCTACCACACAGAACAACACCATTTATATAAACACCTATCATGACAGGGCACCCACAGCCAAGTAGCGATTACAAATGAATTTAGTCGGCATGGCGGCCCACATTGAAAATGACTTAGGCCTACCTTTGATGATAAATCACTTAAACACAAAGTCCATCCTCCTGTCCTTTTGGATGAAGCACTTGATGGCGGGTCATTCAGCTGATCCTTTGCCACTCCAGTTTATCATTGTAACTCAATCTTGAAAATGACTCGGTTAATAATTTTGCAAACGATGTCATCACTATCACTGAAGTGAGCCATCATGAACGAACTTATGCTAATCATAAATCTATCGATTAGATTTATGATTCGAAAATAATAAAAGTAGGGTAGACATGTGGATATTATCCGGCTGAACAAAACGTGCATTTATCTAACAGGTTCATTTTCCACAGACCTTATTTCGAGCTATTTTCCAAAATCCTATGAAGAAATCCCATTTTTTTCTGTCGAGGGAATCCGAGCGCAGCTTACTTCCGGGTTTTAGGACACGTCACTGCACCACTTGCATAGACCTCACAGCGGGCAGAACTTGTCATAAAGTCCGCGAAAATAAAGCCCGCCCATTTAGAGGGAAGATATGATTGGTCAATTGTACTGTCATTTGACATTACTCTCTCGTTGAGTTAGTATATCTGGCCCTCTGTGAATGTAGAGAGGGACCAACAAGCTCTCCCGTCTTCACATAACTCGCAGAGACGGCATTTAACCCTTCACATTCCAACAGAAACTGAACAGACAGATTCGAAGGATTTATTTCTTTGGAAATATTATTTTAAATACAATTAAATCAAGTTATTTTGGTAAAACTAATGAAAAATGTAACACCCAAAAAATATTTTAATTTTTTTAATGTTTTCAAATATTATTTTTTAGAATATCTTAGGCCCTCACAGAGGGCCTAGAGGGCCCTGACGGCTCTCCACTGTATCAATTTGTATGCAAAAATCGGAGAATAAAAATTAGCTGCTAATGGTAGCCACCAGAGTGTGTCACAACTCCGGTTTTGGCTAGGCGTCACTCTCACTCCTTATTATTTGGTAACCTGTGTGTGTATGTGGAACTTTCCCTCGATTCCATTGGCTCTAGCGGTTAAAAAGAGATGTCAATCAGCAAAATCGACCAAGGGGGGCCAGAGATATGGAAAAACCACCCAAATTACCCCCAGAAGCGGGTTTTTTTTGCTAAACCTCTCTAAAAAAAGGCCAAATGTCAATTGTTTTGCATCAATCTTGATACAGGGTACGTATTATATGTTGTACTTTGGATTCCTAAAGCTTTTAGTCTACCATCCCATCATTCAAGGGTGGTTTTCACTATAAGTAAAAAATAATTTTTGGACGGACACTATAATTTACAGTTTTTTTACTATGTTCAATCTGAATTTTCTTTAAAATAAAAAACATCTATATTGATTCTGACTTTTCTACATCCAACTCAAAGGTTTATCATTACTTTGAGAAAAAAGATTAATAATTTTCCCCTTTTAGAAGTGTAGTTATGGTCATTTGTTCTGGGAATGTAATTTTCGAACCTGAGACCTGAAAAACAGGGATGGGGTTCAACAGGTTAATGGAGAAATGTTGAACGTTTTTGTCACTTCATGCCCTCAAGAGGCATTTTGTCTAATTGTTTTGCTTAATTATTTAATTTTTTTCAAGCTACGAGATGTTTTCCTACGTTTCTCATGGCAGGTTTAAAAAAAAAAATGAAGGTGAATTTCAAGCTGTCCTTCACTTAAGCTTTGAGATCACGCACTCTAGCGTTAACGAGCTGAGCAATACACACTAATTTTAAAATCTGAAGAAGGCCTCTTTACCAAGGTCTGAACAATGTTTAATATTTCTAAAAGTTTCAATCTGATTTAAAAGTTGTTTAGCATGAATAATGTCAGGAAGATGTGTAACATTTTAAAGTTGGAATGAGGTTTCTGAGTGAAAGTATGAATGAACAGTTAGCAGTTGAAGTCGCATGAAGATTTTTCAAGTGTGAAGAGTTACTCCATTGACTTCCATGTTAAACATTTGATGAATTATGGGATGTATCTCTGGAATTATGAAAGTTATAAATGAGAAAAGTAATAGCAACCGATTCCCGACCGAGCTGAACATTTTTGATGTTTGAACGGAGTTTCTGCGATGTTCAATGTGGGAGGAGAAGAGGGCCAAAATAACCCGGTGGAATAAAAATAAAGAATTTCATGCGTCGAAGAACAAGTAGTTGGAATGCTGTATCAGCATTCTCACTAAATTAATAATTTGTTGTAATGTAGTATTTTTGATAATAATATTAAAATGTCTATGTAATTGAATGTTGTCAATATAAACGCCTGACCTAAATTCCCAAAACCTAAAAGACAGAACTAGAGAAGTCTGGTGTTCTGCTTTGATGCATCTTTGTGAACACAGGCCCTGAGGGGCAGCCTGTGGTGAAGACCCTCCTCACCTGGACCAGCATGTGGCAGATCTCCTGGTGGCCCTCAGCAGCTGCTGCATGAAGAGGGGTCACTCTGTTTGGGCCCTCCATCAAAAAGTTGGGGTCCTTCCCATCAACTACAATTTAAAATGGTTGGTTTGTCAGTGTAATAATAGAAATTATAAAAAAAACATATATTGAGCTATTTTATGAGATGCTGCTTTATGTCAAGTAACAGTTACCTAGCAGCTGGATGACCTTCTGGAGCTCTCCTTGTTTAGCAGAGATGTACAGCTGTCTGGTGGGGTACTTCACCTTCTTTGGTTTCAGGCTAAACAATATGAAAATGTATCAACCAAGGACTTTCATCAAGGGGCAAACTGCTGCAAAAAAAATCACATGGTTAACCTTACTTGTCATCATCCAGCGCCGTCAGGATGCTCTCCAGTGGCTCTTTGGGTATTCTGTCTGTGGCACACACAGCCTCGCCCTTTGACCTGGAGAGACAGCCAGCAGGACAGCTGTAATCAACTAAGATGAGCCTTAATATTTGCAAGTTTATTGATCTTGGCGAAGGAATTGGATTTTGTAAGCCACATGAGTGCTGTTACCTGCTCGGGCTCTGGTCTCGGCCCCTCTGTGGCTCGCTGCTCTTCTTAGCTCTGAGTATGCGTGGAACAGCAGGCGTGGTTGGTACTGATGGCAGGGCGGCCATATTTGGAACAGCTGGGAGTGACGGCCCGGGTTTGGATCTGGGTACAGAGGGAGCCGGATCAGCCTTCAGCACGGTGACCTCCTTGGCACCGCTGGCATCCTCTCCGCAGTGGGGGCAGAACCTGAGGTCCTTCAGGATGGAGGCACAGTCGCGGTGGAAACGGTGGGAGATGCTGCCGTACGGCCTGCACTCCATGAAGGTGCCCTGGAGGACGGAGCAGGAAAACGCTGCATTAAGGTTACGAAGCACCACATCAAAGAATATAGTATACATTATGATATACAGTTTATAGTATTCAAATGTTATTTTAAGTGAGGTGAAGTGGCGTAACAAGGTTGTGATTCTTCCCGGTGCAAATATTGTTTTGGGGGCCACCCCCATCGCCCCAAACATAAGCGCACGCTGATGCGCTCACACACGCACGGACACACACAACTACTCAGAAGCGCCACATGTAGGCTATCAACAACAGCCTGCCCTGGCCTCATACGACCACAGCCTGACAACGGCACAGCGAACTAATCACACAATCACTTTACAGAATTAATCGAGATTTCGAGGACGATGTATGACAAAAAAAACTAATTTCGTAAGTTTAGCCGTTACATCTCCTTGTTCTCTCTTGCCCTTTCTCTTTGAGAGCCGCTCTTGTCTTTGAATTGTGCCATGAACTACACATATGATGTTTGTCAATCTTAAAAAATCATTTCCATGTCAAAAAAGTCACAGTTTGTCGTAAAACTGTTGAAATATAAGACTATGAAAAATACGCAACTAGAAAAACTACAAATCCCAGAGTCCCGGTCCCGCATGCTGGCTCTTACGGAACCGACTAACTCCCCTTGTGTGTGTGTACAGCTCTCAACATGCCCAGACTTGTAGTGATTTTCACCTCTTTTAATACTTTCCGCCTCATTCTGAAAGAAAGAAGTGAAGTGTTCCAACGTGACGGCCGTCTTGGTGTTTGGTGCGAGACGGGAGAGGTAGTTCTTTGAGCGGTTTCACACAAAAAAAAGTGTTACTTCACAGTTTTACGACACATTTAAAAAAATGTGACTTGCAAAATGATCTTTTAAATTGACAACTATCATATGTGTAATTCATGGCACAATTCAAACGGGATCGAAAGATAATCTTTCTCTCCCCATTGACTTCAATACATACTTTTTCTGAAATAAGGTCCCATGGAGCTCCCCCTGAAAGGGAGGGACTTCGCCTCTCTCTCGCCGAACTTGCTGCTGCCAGACTAATTACAAATTAATTTAGCTTGCTTGGTTACTTTGAAGACTGCGTGAACCGGCCAATGCCATTGGGGCCCCGAAAAAGAAAGATATATTAAAAAAAAATTGTTTTACATGGGCCCCTGCCCGGCTCTTGGCCCCGGTGCATTGCACCGGCTCCACCGTCGATAGTTACGCCACTGAAGTGCGTACAAACGGTTTACACACAAATCCAGGATCCATCAATAATTTCTTACTTGAACTTGTTTTTACTCTGCAAACTGTAGTGTATTTTTAACTCAAGTGTTGTCTCAAGTTATAGATACGTTTTAAGATAATCAAAAGAGCTGAAGTATCGTGTGGTTCATTTTAATTAATGTATTACTTGAACTACCATCCCCAGCTGGGAGTGAAAGATGTTTCAACCATTTCTCCACTTTTTTTTATTTCTGTTTTAACAATGTATCCATAACTTAGCTACCCATTCAAAAGACATATTCATTACTTTAAGCTATAACAACAATTTTTCACTCACTGTTTATTACTTTTCCCTTATCCCTTAAACACTTGTGTTGAAAGGTGCTATATAAATAAACTTGCCTTGCCTTAACAGTCACCTTATTTGTACAGGTACCTATAAAAAATTTGGCAAAAATCGAGCACATTGACCATATTTAGTCCAGCCAGGTTCTGTATTCACCTCGTCTTTGAACCAGGCTAGGAAAAGTTGTCAGAGCAAAACACAGGTGACAAGTCAAGGACTCATTTTAGACTCCAACTTAAGCTTTACATCAGGTATAAACAAGGTAACTACAAACAGCGTTACTCTGTGAAGTTAATTTATTTATGTGACTTGTAATGTACTTCATTTTGTTATGTCTTGTGGGTTAGGGTTGTTGTGTGTACTGTCTTATATATTGTCTATATATGCTAAAACAATAAAGAAAGTGTTTTTAAAAACAGCTTTCCTCCACCTTAGAAATATTGCCAAAGTGAGTCCATTTTTTAACAACCAAGAGGCTGAAATGAATCCATGCGTTCATCTCAAGCAGGTTGGACTACTGCAATGCACTCTTCACTGGTCTTTCCTATTTAGTGTGAATGCTGTTATAAAATATTTTATACTTTTTGAAATATTCAGCTTTTTAAACTTTTTTTAAACATGGAAGTCAATGGGACGACTCTTCAAATCCTCGTTTAACTACGCCAAATGCTTCTCCTTCCACATACTTTCATTCCAACTTTAAAATGATCACAAGACCTTCAGCTATAAAACTTGTTATTCAGATCTTTGATATCTTTTACACTTTGAGATATTTAACTTAGTTTGGAGCTTGGTAAAGACGCTTCCTTCAGATTGTAATAGTAGTGTGGATGGAGCAGCTCGTTAAGTCTAGAGTGCTTTGATCTCAAAACAGAGTGGAGGAGTGCTTGAAATTCTCCCAAAATATGTTTTTAAACCTGCCATAATTCCCAAACCCTACACTCCTCAGACATAATTGTTCATGAAAAATGTAGGAAAACCTCTCCTAGGATGGAACATTCAAAAAAATGAAGAAGAAATATTAAACAAAATGCCTCTTGAGAGCATGAAGAGACAAAAACTCTCCTTCAGATCAAATGGAAAGGCTCTCCTTTCACAGCACATCTCCATGGAAACCTTTGATCTCTGGGCTTACACCAGTGGTTCTCAAACTTTTTCTGTCAGGCACCCCCTTTGGAGAAAAAAAAAAGTCGGGCCCCCCCAACACAAATAGTCAGGCTCAGTGGCGGCGCCAGAGATTTATTTTGGGGTGCTGTGGGGTAGCTTGACGTTTCATAGAGGGGGCTCAAACATTTAGGGTTTCCCATTAATGTACCGGGCGCTACAGAGGAATTTTCTACTGCAACAATCCCCACGCAGATACACAGAGTGACTGTTACAATGAAGGCTCGATAATCAGCTCACGGCATATAGGTGTAAGCAGGGGTAAAGTGCTATTTTTATAGGTGGTGTGTGGACCTCACATAGGGGGGTCCGGGGGCAAGCTCCCCCGGGAAGATTTTTAAATATTGAAGTTAAAAGCATCAATCTGGTACACTTTGAGAGCAAAATGAAGAGATCTATGGACATCTCTCAACACCCATTTGAAACAGAACTGGAAACAGATTTACTATTTCTTTATGGATATTTTACAAATCACTCCCCTTTTAAACTTTATTCTTTTTTTACTGTCATATAGTATTTCATACCTGTTTTTAATTTATTCTCTTATTTTTTTATAACTATAATGATCATATAAACGTGTGCCTCGGAAATAATTGTTTACATTTATGGTGACCAAAACGTTTGAGACCCACTGAGATAACACTCAGAGTCCTTTAGTTCACTGAGTCTCTCAGTCTGACAGGAGAGGACTCTCCTCCACTCTGTTGTTGAAAAAACTCCTTACAATATATCCGTTAGCGTAGCTCGCTAGCACCAGAAGCTAACAACTACGATCTCCGGTACCGGTGCGCTCTCTCTCTCTCTATGAGTGCATGCACACAAAATGGCTCGTTCCACACACACACACACACACACACACACAAAGAGCCGAGCTTTAATGAAACACAGAGAACCAGACGTAATAGTACTGTATTATATTATTTTCAATCAATAATTTTTCAAAATATGATTATTCTTTTTTTATCTTTTTTTAATAACCATTTCCCCCCCTGGTCTCTCGCGCCCCCCCTGTCATGCCTCTGCGCCCCCCTGGGGGGGCGCGCCCCCCACTTTGAGAACCACTGGCTTACACACACAGGTGTTTGTAAGCATTCATTCACTACTACTTACATTTAATATCTAACTCCTTCAGCCTAATTTCAGCTACAGAAACTATTCAACTATTTCAGGACATTGAGGCTATACATTTTGTTGTTTATACCTTTTTTTAAACCTTTTCTTTTAAATATTAAGCTTCTTCACTATTCTTCCAGTTTAAAGGAGACCTATCATGCTACAGTATATTTGAATAATATATTGTAGGGCCATACCTATATAAGTATATTTATACGTTTTCTTTTTCAGATCATGCATTTTAGCCATGCCTCATTTCGATCTATTTTGCTCTCCTCCACCCTGTCTTTGCATGCGCTGCAGCTGACCACGCCCCCTGCAAAGGAGGGGGCCGAGTTACTAGCGTCATGTTACCATGCTGTTACCATGCCACGGCAACCTCTCATTCGCCTGATTGGTGGAGAGTTGGCCATATAGGCGGAGCTCCTCGTCACTGATGTCAAGACTATTTTCAAATCTGTATCAGATCCGTTGCAGCCCCGTTTTTAGAGATTTGGGTATGGAGGAAAAGAGAGAGGGTTGTGTTTTCTGACACTTTGTGAGTTCCCTGACACACCGGGGACACATATTCATGTATAAAAGACGTACAAAAGGTGCATTTTGCATGATAGGTCCCCTTTAACATTTCACTTTCAAGTTGTCCATTCAGCAGCTAGAGACATATTCAGCTTTTCAGCTAAATTCAGCAACAAATGTAGTTTACAGCATTCGCACGCATTTTCAGCAGGAAATGCATTTTCTGGTTTTCCTACTCTTCCAGTTTAACATTTCATTTTCATGTTTTCAACAAAGTCATTGCAATGCATTTGAGCTGTAACAATTTTGATTCAAATCATTTCACTTTTCTACATTTCTCCCCTAAGTTCAGCAACACACTTACTTGGTTTTTGTAGCTAAAAGCAGCTACAGAGACCATCCAACTAATAACATATTCAGCTTTTTCAGCTAAATTCAGCCACACATTTTCAGTTTACAGCATTCGCACACATTTTCTGCAGGAAATGTATTTTCTAGTTGGTCATGTCTTCCTTTATTTTACCAAGAGTGATCACTATTTATTTGATTGTGATTTATTTTTGTACCATCATACCTTTTACCTCCCGTGTCCCTTAATGTGTGAAACTGTTATATCATGTTATTATGATGCATATGTGCTAAAAGGTTTTAACGTCTGGCCTGATGTAAAATTCTTGTCCGTTTTAAATTGTGATGTGAGCCTTGTTGTTAAAGCACTTTGAGCTGCACCTGGTGTGTGAAAAGTACTATAATATAGTTTAAAGGGGACCTATCATGCAAAATGCACGTCAATGCAATTGATGTCTTTTATACATATATTCATATATAATATGTGTCCCCGGTGTGTCAGGGAACTCACGCAGCGTCAGAAAATAAAACCCTCTCTTTTCCTCCGTACACAAATCTCTAAAAACTGGGCTACAACGGAGCTGATCCAGATTTGCGTCCAATATGACGTAATATCGGAAATGTAGGCTGGCTTTACACCCACGGCCCTATCAGAAACGTTGGTATCAAAAACAATGCCCGACTGTTTTGGACGTAATATACACTCAGAGCTAACCTGTACTGCACAGAGCATGTGTGTGAAGAGGCAGGAAATAAAAAGGAACTCACCTTGTGGTATAACCGGCAAGAGAGAAAGCCTTTGAGCTCCAGACCGTTTCAGAAATAATCCTTGATAATCCATGATATGGCATTTCATCACCGCAGTATTTAGTTTAGACAGTAGATTCTCCCGCATGAGCTCAGCCCCCTCCTTTTTTCTTTTAAAGCTTTATACCCCAAATCAGCACTTTTGAAACAGGAAGTGAAATAGAGGGATATGGATATGGCTAGAATGGGTGATCTGTTTGGAATTTTGAGCAAAACACTTCATAGACATTTTTATATATTTGTATATATCTGAGACCTATGCTATTGCCTACAAATAGCATGATAGGTGCACTTTAAATAAAAAGGAGATAAGGAATATGACATAAGTTGGAAATGGAAAAAAAGTTCCAAGGAATAGAAATAAAACATCTTTAAATAGAGGCAAATACGCGTTGACAGATGAGTGAGCGTGTTCCCTCACCGCCCGGCAGAAGAGCCCACAACCAGGGCAGCAGTGGTGCTTCACCATGCCGGCCCGGTGCTCCTCACACAGAACCAGCAGATGGACCGTGTTAGAGGGGCGCATCATTTCCTGCTTCATCACTCGCCTCTGGCAACGGCTCAACTGTTGAGAGCAGAGGTACCAAAAATATCTTATACTGTACCACATTTAAAAACAGGTTTACAACGTGTTGGTGCTTTTAGACCCATAACAACCTTAGCAAGCAACAGCTGTTATATCATTTTTGGTTGGATCATATCCTACAGGTTTTCACTGTTTGGAGTCTGGATTCATGGGACACTAAATCTGTTCCATAGAAACCACCCATAAAAGGAATAATTGTGCACACTAAATAACATTTAGATCTATCATCGGCTGCTTTTAGTTCAGGGTGGCCTTCAGTGATGTAGTGTGAAAATGTTTAGGTCAATTTCTAAACTTTAATAAAAAGTGATTTTGTTCACAAAGAAGTGAAGACAACACGTTGATAGCAGGATTGCAGAAAAACTACTGGGTGGATTTTCATCAAACTTGTTGAATGGGTGTAGCATTGGCCAAGGAAAAACCCATTAAATGTTGGATCCAAATTGGTTTGTGGTGCATTTGTGAAAAACAGCCTTGGGGGTGGCCTTGTAGTTTTAATCCATTATTTTAGGGAAAGGTGAACCAGCTAAAACAGCAGTCAAATATCACACCTTTCTCTGGTTAAGAACTGGTTACTGGGTGGGATTTATCTGAGGTTTTAAAACTGATTTGTAATAATAGGTCAATGCTAAAGTGTTTTAATTCAGATGATTTTTACCATTCCATCCATGCTCTCCATGGCCATGCAGGTCTGCTCAATTGTGGACAGGCTGTCTCCGCTGAAAGGAGTCTCCATCCGACAGCAGCACAGCGGCAGCTCCTCCAACAGGTCTGATTCTGTCACCTTAGCATCTACACACACACACACACACACACACACACACACACACACACACACACACAACACACACACACACACACACACACACAACACACACACACACACACACACACACACACACACACACACACACACACACACACCACACACACACACACACACACACACACACACACACACACACACACACACACACACACACACTTTTATGTATGCTATATGCTTGTGTGTGTGTTCATTTACAGGTATGTGAAGTTTGTAGCACGTGTGTAATCACAGTGGTGACGTAGCACACAGATACCTCATTCACACCAACGGTGTTTCAGGGCCGGTTCGGAGCTGGAAAAGCACCGGGTTTTCCTGTTCACACCGCAGCGGAGCAGCCTCTTAGCTCCGGAATCCGGTTCGTTTCAAGAACCAAAAAATTGTCCGGCTAGAGCAAAAGCACCGCATACGTCACGCTTACGTCGAGGCGGGGGAAGGGGCAGAGACAGATCAACTCCTGAACAACAACAAGAAGCCCGCGTTTTATCCAGTTTGTACACAACGATGGAGAAACGTAACAAGCAGCAGTGGTCCACTGAAGAGACCAGCTACCTGCTGGGAATCTGGTCTTCCGAAGAGGTACAGAGGAAGCTGGAGCACAATCGGCCATTGTTGTTGTTGTCTGTGTCAGCTGTGAGGGGTTTCCGTGCGGTTTGGCTTTATGAAGCAGGCACGTTAACGGTTACGTCATGACGCTAACGATGACGCAATGACGCAGCACCAGTCGGACTCTGGGCAGTGTGAAAAGAGCCGGAGCTAAACCGAAGAACCGGTTCTGAACCTGAAAAGCTCTAGCACGGAGCTTGAACCGGAGTTGCGTTGGTGTGAAGGAGGTAAAAGTGGAGTCACTGGGGAACAGTTGGGGGAATAAGGAGCTGAGAAATAGACATTTATAATCGTGCCTTTGTAGGTTAAGTTTTGGATATGTAAATTGGGTGTGTCAAATGCATATCCTGGAGGAGCTCATCCTTTGCAACACCACATGCTGGACATGTCTTCCCATTCCCACAGGTGCCATTTTTTGTTAGATTGTCACTAAATGACATATAAAAACATGTCTATAAAAGAGAAAGGGGACATGATAAATGTGTTGTCACCTGACAGGGGAGGAGAGAGCAGCTCTTCCTGAGCTTTCAGATCCAGACACTCCAAAGCCAGCTCTGTGTATTCTCCTTCTCCAGGGTCCCCCTCCATCAACAGTTCACTCCTGAGGGGCTGCAGAGTCTCTGTGAGCATCACTGGCTTCTCCTCAGCTGCAGCTCTGTTCTGCTGCACACTGGGTCCTGGCTCCTCCTTCTGATGAAGAAAGGAATGACATTTGTAGGTATTGGTATTTATTTCAACATGACAAACAGCATATTGCTTGCATGGTATTTACTTGCTACTGGGTACACTCCTGGGAACATACAACAACATAACCCCAGTGGGCTAAAAGGTAGGAATAAATGACTGAATGACAAATAAATACATAAATAAATAGATACATGGACCTACCTTCTCCTGCTGTTTAATGGCCTTGGCCTTCTTCTTGGGGACTAGGTTGTACATTCCCATCTTCCTTTTCCTCCTCTTCACAGCTAGGATAAGAACAAAGGTTAGGTTATGTAGTCAGAAGTCATCAGTAGGAACATCAGTCTGAAAGGTGCTGTCACCCTGGAGACAACATATTACATCAATGCCCACTTTTCCAGTTAAACACATGACTAATGCTGAAAAAGTCGTTATTAAACACAGTAAGATGATCACAAATAACAACATTTGAGTACAGCTAACTAGGGCTGCCCCTAACAGTCATCCAAACGTTAGTCTTGCAATTTTCTAGCAACTCTTTAGGTATATTTTCTCAAGATAGGTTGAGTTCAATCAAGTTTGCAAAGGGAAGGATCAACTCACCGGACGGAGGTTTGCTGGAGACAGCTCTCCTCTCCTTTCCTTTGTGGCTGGGACAAAGCTTGGTGCTTGACTTCAATGCTTTCCTGCCAGCAGTCTTTAAAAGGGCAAAAACATATTTATTCTAAATGTAATAAAAGAGAAAGGAGAAGACAATATGTCATATGTGGGGCATTGGTATAACATATGGACAATATTAATCATTTTTTATGAACAGTCCACAGTGTTACAGTAAGTGTTTGTTCTGTACACTAATGAAGATTTTTGTAATAAGAGTATTTGACATCTAAACATTCAAGTTGAATACATTCACATAATAATTCAGTAAATGTATAATAAAATACAATATAACCCAAAAGTTTGTTTCTGGTAAGAAGTATGATTTCAATCTCATTGTCAATTTGAGCCTTTCTGCAATCTGTGCATTCAGATGAATATAACTGTGTACTGTCTGTCCTTCACTGCAAACATCGCTGCTACAACCCGCTGCTGCAGATACACGCTTTACAACATCAGGAGGATACGTCCCCAGCTGACTCAGAAAGCGACTCAGGTTCTGGTCCAGGCTCTCATCATCTCACGCCTAGACTACTGCAACTCCCTCCTGGCTGGTCTACCTGCATGTGCCATCCGACCTCTGCAGCTCATCCAGAATGCAGCGGCTCGTCTGGTCTTCAACCTTCCTACATTCTCCCACACCACTCCGCTCCCTCCACTGGCTTCCGGTAACTGCTAGAATCCACTTCAAGACACTGATACTTGCTTATCATGCTGCGAATGGATCTGGCCCTTCCTACATCCAGGACATGGTTAAACCGTACACCCCAGCGCGTGCACTACGCTCTCTGCACCCTCACTACGAGGGGGACCCAAGTTCCCATCAGCAAAAACACGTGGCTTTGCTGTCCTGGCTCCAAGATGGTGGAATGAGCTCCCCATTGACATCAGGACGGCAGATAGCTTACACACCTTCCGGCGCAGACTGAAAACTCATCTCTTTCAACTCCACTTCGAGCGTTAGAACTATTAACAAAGCACTTATATACTAATAAAGGACTGGCTTATCTAAAGCCAGTTGAGTAGCACTTGAAATGTTTTTGCTCTATGAAGCCTGATGTACTTATATGATTCTGTTTTCTTCAAGGTTGTATTTTGTTGGTCGAACGCACTTATTGTAAGTCGCTTTGGACAAAAGCGTCAGCTAAATGCAATGTAATGTAGAACGCAAACATTTTGATGTAGAACTTCTGGAATAAAATTAAAATGTTGAACACAAAGTAGTGCAGTAATTAATGAACAAAGTCAATCGAAACACGCACACATAACTGGTATACACACATTTCAAATTTGTGTGATAACAACATGTTATCATTTACAATATCTCTGAGTGTGGAAACATATCAAATGTTATTGCTTTACAACCCTCACAGCTCATATGCAGCTGGAACATCAGAGGACTTGCCTGGAGCTTTACTCCTGTGGGGGCCGGTGCAGAGCCTGAACTGGGGGGGGGGTCCTCTGAGCTCCCAGCAGCAGCTCTCCCTCTGACAGGAGGGGCAGTCAGCCGACCATATGTGTCCAGAAACAGGCTTCCATGAGCAGAGGCTGCGGGCCGGATGCTGCGGAGGGCTCCATCACTGCTGGCTATGGGGGAGCCATGGAAGGGAGTGACCTTTACACTGGGCTTTTGAACACTCAGTGCTGCTTGTCCCTTGGCACCCATGGGTGTCCCAGAGGAGGGACTGGAGGATCTTCTGCCTGGCCCCTCACTGGCTCCTCTGTGGTCCATTGCTGTCCTGAGGGGCTAATTGTTGAGGCTTGTCGGTCTAACGGGCCTTAGTAGCACCTGTGGAGGTTAACCAAGTTATATTCGACTCAAAAACATCTTAAAGTAAAACAATTAATTAAGAAGAACTCTGACATGATTAAACAGTGCATACAGTGGAAGTATCGTAGCAACCTTCTAACGTTACATGCAAGGTAATGTATAGTGCACCAGGACGAAAGTTATCCCATGTTTGCAGAACAATTCCGCTTCAGATGGAAGAAAGGCAGAGCTGAGCCCGAGAGCATTGTGCACGCGGATTCATATGACACACAATGCGCGTGAACAGACTACAAACATCCCAGAAAGTGTAAACGACATTAGGGTGAAAAGGAAAAAGTTGAAACAGCAGAAGTTTCATCCTACCAGCTGCAGTCGGTCTAGCTGTATCGAGCGACGGTGAGGAGGATGTGACCGGAAGACAAGAGTTTCCACTTCCGCCTCACCCGCTCGAGCGTGGCCCTTTCTCATTTCTCTAATTCCCCTCCTCGACTCCTCGTGTCTTAGTCCCGCCCACAGGAGATGCGAGCGAAGGAGTCGAGGAGGGGAACCGAGGAGGCAGCAGGCGGTTAGAGAAATGAGAAATCATCTCCTCTGGCAGTCATTTTAAAGAGACGTCCATTAATGATGACAGGAGGCACAGCAGTATGGAGCTATTTCAGGGGCCCCGTCTCAGGTCGATTAAATGGAATCCTTGCTTCCCTCACTTGTGTCGTTTCCCTGCGTCTAGTCCCTCCCACCAGGGAAGCATGTAGAGATGCAAGGAAACCACGAGAAGCAGGGAAATGAGTTTTAAGAGCAATGGGACGTCCTTTCCTCCGGAGCGTCACGTGAAGCGACATCCGTTTGTGATAACGCCGCACAGCTGATCGTCTGACAGCAGCTCTGTCCCTGTTATTTTCACAAACACCCCCGCCACACATTTACTGACACAAACATTTGTATCATCTGTTGACCCCAATAAATAAAATCAAATAGAACTCATTCTCAAAAAAGATAAACGCCATTCTTAAAATGTATAAACGAACAATAGTTTGATTAATATTGATTAGAGTGCACAATAGAAATAAAATATATTATCTATCAAAACCCAGTTAGATTAACGTTCATTGGATTGCACACTTTGTTTGTTTGTGTGGATATGTAGCACATTAACATTTTAATAGCACTTAATGACTGACTGAATGGAAATGACAATAAATGAATATGTAAAACGAAAAAAGCGATCATGAAAATGTTTCCAAAAAATGAATAAAATGATTTTTGACCACTTTGTTGTTCAGATATATCACATATTTGTCACTAAATGAAACATGAATTGAAACAAAACACAGTATAAACTGACATGCCCGGTGCCGTGGGAGGGCCAGGGAGGGCCAGGCCCTCCCATTTGACATTCCTGCCCTCCCCCAATAAACACGTTTTTTATTATTTATAAAAATTGAAAAATATATATATTTTATTTTTTTAATTATAAATAAACTGTGAACTTTTATGCTACGATGTATGTGATGTCAGAACAACAACAAAAAATCGCAGGCTACGTCAAATAAATGCATGTGTCTGTTGTGATTTGTGATTCGTCCCCATTTAGACCAATCACAGCGTCACACTCTGCCGCCTATTCTGGATTTGTTTATTGTGCATTCTGTAGACTCCCATTTCTGTTTGAATTGCAAAATGGACATCAGAAATCGGCTTAAAAGGTCTAAGGATTTATTAAAACGAAATAGCGATGAAAGAACTGCAGCCGATGGTGCTGCTGGCGACCCTGCACCTGCCGTTGCAGCAGCACGCCTTAATGTCACAAGCTTGACCTCGGCAAACCCCGGGGCTGAGTTAGCGATGATCTTGGGGTTAATAAACCCAACCAGGTGAAACTGGATCGTTATCCAGGGAGATTGTTTTCAGGAAAGAAGCGCACTTTTGCCGCTGCATGGTACACAACAGACCATGGCTTGAATATTAAAAGCAGACGCAGCCTTTTGTTTCCCCTGTAGACAGTTTAAAGTCAAGACGTCTTCATCTGATGCGGCTTTTACTGTCAAAGGTTTTTGCAACTGGAAACACGCATTACAGACTGATAAAGGACTGCTAAGGCATGCCACATCAAAAGAACACATTTCATGTGAGAGTTTGTGGAGAGAGAGACAGATACGCGAGGAAACAAATAAGGAAATTAGTACTTTGGTGCAGATCAGCTGGCACGGAGCCGTTATTACGTGTCAGCTGTCGTTGATATTATAGCTTTTTTAGCTGTCAACCAACTCCCTCTCAGAGGTGACTCGATTCACTCCACAGCATGTCTGAGTGCAGTGCATAGGAACATAAACCATGCCCAAGGCGGGCTAAACAGTTCATCGTCTCCGTCTCTACTATTTCTCTCCGAGTGCAGCGATGAGGAAGCTGCCATCCGTAACCAGTGTGCCTTGCTCGTGATTTACCAGTGTCTGTGCTGCCACGCACACAATGTTTCAAAGTGGTTGCTATGTTGCCCTTTATTTGTGTATGTTTGCGATAAGTGTGCGTCTTTACGCAATGCTGTTGGCCTTGCTGTTTGATATATATTGTGCCGCAGGCCCGCAGCACGTGACGGTTTTGTGTGCCCTCCCATGAAAATCATATGCCCTCCCTTTAGATTTGTTCTGGCGCCGGGTCTGTAAACTGAGGAGTGAGTCCCGTGAGTTTCATGTATTTTCTTCACTCCGCTGGGAAACTGCTCTCATGTCAAGAAGCATGAGATCAGTGCATGCACTGCATCGTCCAATCAGTGAGCGATACACAGTAAGGGGGCGGGGCGAGTATCTGAGGATTTCATCAGAGGATGGTCTGGTGGTTCCTCGGTTATCGCTCCTCCATTATCGCTCCTCGCTCCTCGGTCCTCCGGCAGAAATAAGAGCCATGGGACGGTACTCAAGATAGCGCAGACAAATCAACTTCCGGTGAGACCGAGGACCGAGGAGCGAGGAAATGAAAATAGTCGACCTGAGGTCATACGTTTTGATCATTCAAAAAAATACCTTTTATTTGAAAGTCCAAGTTTTCATCCTGAACTTTGAAAAATACAATGTTGTATTCAAAACAAAAAAAAGTATTTGAAAAAATGTTTCAGGTTGAATATTATTTTTATTCAGTTCAGCAATTGTTTTGAATAAAATATGTATTTTCATATTTCACTTTTATACATATTTTGATATTTGAATACTTGTTTTTTTCAGTTTCCGATTTTACGTCTTCAGATTCAAAACAATTATTTTTTCAGTTTCAATTTTTTTTTTTTCAGGTTTCAATAATTTGTTCGCCTTCAGATCGTTTTTCGCTTTCAGACTTTTGGCCCTGATACTAGGCTTGTTTGAGACAAGCGAGACCTGCGCAGTTGCGACCAACGTCTTGCTAGTGCGTTTCATGATGGTGTTGAGATCATAGTATGAAGTGAATACTTAAAAACGAAAGTTAATTATAAATCATATATGATCAATCATATTCTTGTATAAACCCATAATGAGAATGCTTCTTGACGGTTTTTTGAATATGTATGTATGCTTACAATTTTTTTCTGTTGCTATTTGATAACTTTGCGTTTTGAAGAGAGGGTGTTGAGATCATAGTATGAAGTGAATACTTAAAACGAAAGTTAGTTATAATCAAATATAATCAATTATATTCTTGTATAACCCACAATGAAAATACTTCATATTTTAGGTTTTTCTATAGTTACAGTATAAACAAAACCAAGTGGTTTGTTAAGTTGAGTGGACAGCCTAAAAAGAGTTATGGGTGTTTCTGATAAGAGAGTAGGCCGTTTTCTCCCTATCCCCTGACAGCAGTTCACAGGGAGGGGGGCTCCAGGCTTAAGGAGAAACACATTAGAGGCCTCAAAAAGGGGTCATGTCCTTTTTACACTAACATGGGAAGGTGTGTCTTATGCCATAAGCTATGGAACATGTCGGGTCATGTTCAGCTCTGTACAGTAGAAGCCATGCCCAGTTTTCCACAAATTGGGTGTTGAGGAGGCGTTTTGAAAAATTCTATCGGGGTTTTGTGCATAAAGACAGGGGTTGAGAGTGAAAGCTTCAGAGCTGGGTTAATAGCTCTCGGTAAGGTTCTCTCAAACTTGGTAAATATCTCTGATATTTGTTGGTTGAAATGCTGAGTAAATTTGGTTTGAATGCTGAGTGAATTTCTTTGAATGCTGAGTGAATTTCTTGGTTGGAATGCTGAGTGGAATGACTTGATGGGAGACATGGTTGTGAGATGTGGTTGTGATTAGGAACTGCCACCGTGAGGATCTTCCTCCGAAATACCTGCGGGAGATAGGTATGTGTTTGTGAATGTTAGTACCCGCCATCTGTGTCGGATAGGAGTGTGGTTGTGATTATAACCCGCCACCGTGAGGATCTTCCTCCGAAATACCTGCGGGAGATAGTTGTGTGTTTTTGAATGTTAGTACCCGCCATCTGTGTCGGAAAAAATGTATGAAACTGAATTGATTTGGTGAATGAAAAGTTGAATGCGCTTTTTATTGTCACCGGTCTTTTTATGAGGAAATACCTCTAAATTCTATCGGGAGATTTTAAAATGTCACAACTGAATTGGGCAGTTGAAATTAAACATTTTGGTAATAAATGTAAGACTGTGAATTAAAGTTTCATATTTGAACATGATCACAGCACCATTTTTTTAGTATGATTATAATGTTGTAAAGAGAGAAGGTAAAAACCCTGTATTAGTTTGGACCTATTTTTCTTCAAATAAACTGATCCCACCTTTTGGACTGGGATAACTTAAAAGACACCTGTGCCCTCCTCTCCTGCTTCAAAGGTAAGACTGCACCCTGCCACACACACTTAGGTAGGAGCACACTCCATTTACTGATATCAAAATCCTTCGGGATCCCTTAAACAGATTAAAAAAGAGTTGTCTGAATTGAAACAGCAGTTAATTGAACCTAGGTTCTTCGGGAAGTTAATAGAGGTGAGATCTTGCTGACGTTGGTGGATCTGAGCCAAGCAGCAAACTTACATAGACTCAATAACTTCGGTCAGGTCAATTAGTAGGTCAGAGTAATTTACCGGAATAAATTATCAGGACCTCTCCGACTCTAAACAATGGTTACAGTAGGCTTGTTTGAGACAAGCGAGACCTGCGCAGACCTGCGCAATTTCGATCAACGTCTTGCTCGTGCGTTGCATGAGGGTTAGTCATTTTGTCCGAATTGCTCTGGAGGCTCGCCTAGATGAGACGTTGAAATCTCGCGGGACAAAGACGCCCGGAAGCGAAATGCTTGATGGGAAACGACTCGCTGGTATCTCGAGCTGAGCGCTCATTGGTGGTTTTTTCCACGTGCTGCTGATGAAACTCTCCAATTGGCTCGGCAAAAGTTTGTTGTTGTTTTGTGTCCGTTTTACGTCGCCACATCCATTCACATTTTTCATCATCGTTCCACAATATTTATCATCATTAAATTAATATCCATATATTTTATACTATACTTGCACTGCTTACCGTTTTCATACTTTATATATCTTAGCATATTCATACACACTGTTCATACTGCTCTCAGGCTGATATCTAGTGTATTCATAACCCTCACTGTTTATTCATCATTCAATTCATTCTATATTTTATTCTGTAGATTGTGTACATTACTTTTCACTTTACTGCTTGTTGCACCTGGTTAGAAGCTAAACTGCATTTCGTTGTCTCAGTAACTGTAATATGTGCAATATCAATAAAGTTGAATCTAATCTTGATCAGGAACAAATGTATTTACTTAGTACATATCTGACATTAATGATTAAACACATGTGTGCATTCTTTATAAATGCAAACCGAGTCAAGCCGACTCCGGAGGTGGCGGTATGCACCTTAAAGTTGTTTGCAATCCGCCAAAAAACCGAGAGAAGAAGAAGAAGAAGACGAAGCCGACTCCGAGCTGTCCGACTTCAGGCGAGCTTTTTGAGACCTCCCCCGGCTGCGATCGGCTATTCTCGTCTACTTTCGAGGCGAGCCGCAACGCGTCTCAAACAAGCCTATTTTGTCCAACTTGCTCTGGAGGCTCGCCAACATGAGACGTTGAAATCTCGCGGGACAAAGATGCCCGCAGCCTTGAGAGCGAGGCGCGGCGCAGTTCGGCCTAATTCCAAACCACTCCATCGACCCTACCCCTCCGTGATGGAGTGAACTCCGTCTGTAGCCACACTCGCAGCTCAACGAGGCTCCCTCCTGTCAGATGGAGGGAGTAAATACAGCAGCAAGCTTTGGGACGGCCTCCCCTCTCTCCGGCAGAAACAGGAAATGCCGTAACTGTATGTAACAACGGTTTCAAATCAGCATCTCTTAGACAAAAAGTTTAAATGAATAACTCAAATAAAACTCCAAACATCTTTCATTGTGTTTCAAAGCTCTTTTAGTTGTAAACCTGATGTTTATAAGCTTCTTAGTTTTTGCAACGGTCTCTAAATATACACAACTTTATAATAAAATGCACACATTTACCTTTTTCTAGACTAAACACAGGTTTGATCCTAAGTTAAAAACATATGAGGTTATCATGAGGTTGTTAACATCGCAGTTTATCAGTGGATGTTTGCTGGAACTACTTGTTAACAGCGTGTTTCCTGACGGACACACACAGCGGGACTCCGGTCAGGTAGAGACCGGTCTCAAGTCAGCACCGCTGCAGACTCGCTGTTTGAGGGCTTGATAGACCACTCCCCCTCCACACTCGTTGCTTTGGAACAGCCCTCAATATGGCGGACCCTCCGCGTGAATGCGCAAACGGAGGGGTAGGGTGTAGGGGTAAGGTGTAGGGGTAGGGTGTAGGGGGCGGTTTGGGAATGGGCCTTCCTCTCCACGGGCTGCGGAAGCGAAATGCTTGATGGGAAACGACTCGCTGGTATCTCGAGCTGAGCGCTCATTGGTGGTTTTTACCCCGTGCTGCTGATGAAACTCTCCAATTGGCTCGGCAAAAGATTGTTGTTGTTTTGTGTCAGTTTTACGTCGCCACATCTGTTCTGGCTCCGCCAATTATTTTGTGTGTTATAGTGACTCCTTCTGGTGACTTCCCGTACTGCATGAAGTAGTTATTTTTAGTTCCCATGTGACAGGAAGTTAGCCTGAGACATTTCAGAATAGCATGTGTGCTCCAGCTAAGGTGGCGTCTGTTCATCCTGTGCCATCCATCATTCATAGCCCTTGAGAAGGCATTTCCTGTAAGTTTTTATGTTTCTACATTATTTATCTTTACCTTGAGTGCATTATTGTGATATTTGATCCCAGCTGACATTTTGTAGTTGCTGTATATGCAATATAGCCTAAACATTGCATCTGTACTTTGGCACTGACCTAATTTCATGCCGTCTTGGATATATATCTATGTATACGTAATTATTATGTCATGTAGTTGATATTTACAATTGCTCCTGTTTCTGTATTCCTTCAGTTTCACACTGCTTGCTTAGTAAAGCTTCAAAACATCACCTTGTGGTCCTGAGTTTTACTTTGTGAGAGTGTTTATCTCGCTGGTTAACCGAGAAGGAGATTTCGGCGAGGCCAGTATAGTGAAAAGTAAGACCTTCAAGCAAGTGCTATCTCCCGGATGCTGGATTCCTCCTGCATTGTCACCCACGGCAACAAGGCCAGCACGACAGCTGCAGAAATCCACGGCAGGTAGAGCAGACATATTCATCACAGTAAGAGTAACCACGTCACAAACATGGAGGGTGAAGCGCCAGAGAACCAGTCTGTTTCATCCAAGTCATCAAATGTGTCAAGAGCAAGTATGGCAGCCACTAAAGCCCGCGCTAAAGCTGAAGCCGCACAAGCAAGAGCTGCATTTGCAAGGAAAGAAATAGAATTAAAGATAGAAAAGGCCCGTCTAGAAGCCACACTAGATGCCCTGGAGAGAGAGGGCGAAGCAAAGGCTGCTAGGGCCGAAGCAGCCGTAATGGAGGCTGCAGTAGCAAATCTGGAGCCATCAGAAATAGAGCATAGACCACCTTTGCTACCAACACAAAATTCAAAACAGCGCACCGAAGAGTACGTTAGTCAGCACACAGACACAGGTGCTACTGGACAGCTACATGCAGTTAAAGAGGAGAGCCCCGTGTTACATGTATATTCCCATCCCCAAGCATTAGGCGATGAGTTAAAGGAAAAATCTCCAGTGTCAGAGTATCACATACTATCCAGCTACCCAGAAGATGTTCCCCCTGACATAAAGAGACAATATATTCCTAAGCCACAGACCCAATTGCAGCATCATCCCCCAAGTCACATCAACTTCCCATACTACTCCAGTCATCGTAACGACAACATGCCCTCTACAACACGTTACTCCAGTGACACCTCACTTGATCTCGCCAAATATCTGGCACGCGGCAAGCTCGTGTCATCCGGGCCAAGGTTCGACGATCGGCCGGATAATTATTTAGCTTGGAAATCATCGTTCCTCAACACCATCAAAAGCTTACATCTCACAGCTAGAGAAGAGTTGGATCTGTTAAACAAATGGCTTGGGAGGGATTCAGCAGAGCAGGCACGGCGTATTAAGTCAGTTAATGTGAGACATCTTCCTGCTGGATTAGACCTCATATGGGAGAGGTTGGAGGAGACCTATGGGTCGCCAGAAGCTATAGAAAACGCCCTTTTTACAAAAATAGAGGACTTTCCAAAAATGGCGGCTAAAGACAGCCAAAAGCTTCGTGAGTTAGGTGATCTGCTGATAGAGCTAGAAGCTGCAAAACAAGATGGCTACCTTCCAGGGCTCTCATACCTTGATGCTGCAAGAGGTGTCAACCCCATTGTGCAGAAGCTGCCGTGGGGACTACAGGAAAAATGGATGATGAGGGGATCTAGCTATAAAAGGGAATTTCGGGTAGCTTACCCCCCTTTTTCCTTTTTCACAAAGTTTGTGCGCACAGAAGCCCAAGCACGCAACGACCCCAGCTTTAATCTCCCCTCAACTTTCACGCCACAAAACACAAACCACAGATTTGAGAGTAACAGTAAACCAGTCTCTGTTCATAAAACAGATATCTCCTCCTCATCCACCTCTCCTTTCGCAGACCGCCAGAGCAAAAACATCGAAGATCCAGATAAACAATGCCCCATACATCACAAACCCCACCCACTTAAAACATGTAGAGGATTCAGAGAAATGCCTCTGGAAAGCAGGAAGAGTTTCCTAAAACAGCATTTTATCTGTTTCAAGTGTTGTGCATCCACAAGAAACTGTGAAGCGAACATTAAATGCTCAGAATGCGACAGGCATCCAGCTGCCCTCCATCCAGGCCCCCCTCAGTGGTACTCCAAGCCATCTCCTCCTCCGTCACAGCATGGCGGGGAGGAGGAAGACTCTCCCGACCCTAACGTCACATCAAAATGCACAAAGGTATGTGGAAAAGGTTTTAGCGAGAAATCATGCTCCAAAATGTGCCTCGTGAACATTTACCCTAACGGAAGAGATGAGAGCAAGACGATGTACGCCATACTGGACGACCAAAGCAATAGGTCATTGGCACGGTCTGAGTTTTTTGAGACATTTAGCATAGAAGGCACCACAGCTCCTTACACATTAAAAACATGCTCCGGAGTAGCTGAAACATCAGGCAGGTGAGCAGCTGGCTTCACTATAGAATCTGCAGATGGTAAGACAAGTATTCCACTACCCACTTTGATAGAGTGCAACATGGTCCCAAACAGGGGCGGACTGGGACTAAAATTCAGCCCTGGAAAATGACCCAGTCCGGCCACATGAAATGTCAAATGTTAGAAATCCGCTGTTTATTATTTAAAGTTTTACATCCGATTCACTCCTTTTTTCTTCTCTGTACACAGCTCCAGTTTGATCATTGGCCTGTCATCAGATTTCATTTGTAGTTGCTGCTGTAGAGGAAGTTTAGTAAAATTATTTTTGATGAAATACTCCAAATCTCCACCCTCCATAATTGCGCTTGCTTGCTACTTTTTAAGGGCAGTGATGACAGTTACAGTACGAACTGAAGTTGATGCGATTTGATTGGATCGTGAGGCATGACGTGAGCCTCATCTGATTGGTCAATCCCTCAATTTTTTTTTACCAAGGGAAGCCAATTTCGACTGGCCTCCTCTCGCAACAGAGAGTGCAATCTACTGTTTCACCATAACATCTAGAGGGGCGCTGTTTCACTCTTTGTAAAATACTCAATGAGAATGGGGGAGAGATGGGCCGGCAGAATAATTACCGAAACTAAACGAAGTGTTTTTATTTATTTATTAAAATTATAACTACAATGCAAAAAAAACGGGGAAGCCTGGCTTCCTTTGGCCTCCAGGAGAAAACGCCACTGAGTTCAAGGGATAATTCTCACCCACCTCTTGCTCTTGCCCTGCACGTGTGCCGGTTGAGCTGGTTCTTCCAGCAGCTCAACTCTCTGTCCCTCATCATGAACGCAGGAGGCTGGCTGTATATCTGAACTCGCGCCCATATCAATCTCTTCATCATCTTGCACTTGTTCTAAGCTGCTGCTGATAGTGCTCGTAGCAGCGCTGCTGCCAAAAAGGTCTGTCAATTTGCGACATTTATATGCTTCACCTGCGAGTGACTTCACCTTTTTTTCTCTTGCCTTCTTGGCCCCACCTTTTTCTTTTCAATGTCTTTGATATTTATCCATGTTTTTTCATTCTCCCTGTCTGCAGCGGCGTCTAATCCCTTCTCTTCATGTGGCCGGTCTTTTTTCTTCTTCGTGTGTGACTATTTGACATAAGAACCACACAACTGCATTAGCGGCCGCTCTCGCCCTCTGTCGGCCGTCAGCGCAATTTAAATGATGACGTTAAACCTTTTTTTTTTTAAAGTGCCGGCCGTCAACGGCCCTTGACGACCGGCCGTTCTGTGGTTCTCCAGATTCTACAGATGGCCAGTCCGCCCCTGGTCCCAAACAACTGAGATGAGATACCTACCCCTGCAGCTGCTCACAACCACAACCATCTCAAAGCTATAGCTCAGGAAATACCACCACTTGATCCTGGTGCTCAGATTATGTTGCTACTGGGGAGAGATATATTAAGAGTTCACAAAGTGCGTAGGCAATGCAACGGTCCCCACAACTCCCCTTTTGCTCAGAAGCTCGACCTGGGCTGGGTTATAATCGGTGACGTATGCCTAGGCAGCGTACACAGGCCTACTGAGGTGACCAATATGAAGACCTTCATCTTAGAGAACGGCAGGCCTAGCCATCTAAGTCCATGTGAGAACCACATTAAAGTCAAGGAGAATTTCTCCTCAAACCAGCAGCAGCTCCTCAACCACGCTCTACAGAGAAACCAACCACACAGCATAACCCGTGAAAGCTTTGGCCAGTCAGTCTTTCGTCAAACTAAAGACGACAATAAACTTGCACCTTCGATGGATGACCTATCTTTCCTCAGTATAATGGAAAACGAGTTCTTCAAAGATTCTACCAACAGCTGGGTCGCACCACTGCCGTTTCGCAACCCACGCCGGCGCTTGCCCAACAACAGAGAGTACGCCATGAACCGCTATAGTCACTACGCCGCACCTTGGAGAAACGTCCCGAGATGAAGTCTGACTTTGTTGCTTTCATGCAGAAGATCTTAGATAACCACCATGCAGAGCTGGCACCTCCTCTACAGGAAGGCAAGGAGTGCTGGTACCTCCCCTCATTTGGAGTCTACCACCCCCGAAAACCAGGGCAAATACGAGTTGTTTTCGACTCCAGTGCTCAGTTTGATGGAGTCTCCCTAAACGACGTGCTGCTCTCTGGACCAGATCTGAACAACAGCCTGTTAGGTGTCCTCATAAGATTCAGGAAAGACTCTGTGGCTGTCACAGCAGACATCCAACAAATGTTTCACTGCTTTCTGGTGCGTGAAGACTCCAGAGATTTTCTACGCTTCCTTTGGCATCGTGACAACAACATGAGCAAAGAGATTGTTGACTACAGAATGAGGGTGCATGTCTTTGGAAATAGCCCATCACCGGCAGTGGCTACCTATGGGCTCAGACGCGCGGCACGCAAAGAAGTTGGGGAGTACGGCAACGAGATCCGACGATTTGTAGAGAGAGAATTCTACGTAGACGATGCCCTGAAGTCGTTTCCAACAGAGGAGGAAGTGGTAAGAGTCCTTCAGCAGGCACGAGAGATGTTAGCAGTCTCAAACCTTAGGCTCCACAAAATTGCCTCCAACAGAGCTGGAGTGCTGGATGCGTTCCCAGCCGAGGACCGGGCCAAGGACATTCAGAACCTCAACCTCTCTGTCGACGACTTGCCTGATCAACGCAGTCTTGGGGTGATATGGAACATCATGACGGACTCATTCATGTTTCACGTTCCCGAGATCGAGAAGCCATACACACGAAGAGGTGTGCTTTCAACTGTAAACAGTCTCTTCGACCCCCTGGGCTTCCTGGCACCTGTAACGATCAAGGGACGACTGCTCCTCAGAGAGCTCTCAAGTAAAGCCAGTGAATGGGATCTTCCTCTTCCTGAGAGCATGCGTGACAAGTGGATAAAATGGCGAAACTCACTCCAAGATCTACAGGAACTACATGTCCCACGCACATACTCAACCACGACCCCCTCCAAAGCCCTCCACACGGAGTTGTGCGTGTTCTCAGATGCTTCAGTTAAAGCCATCTCAGCTGTTGCCTACCTAAGGGTCACCGATCATGATGGGCACACTGAAGTAGGGTTCATACTTGGCAAGGCAAAGCTGGCCCCGCAGCCTGAACTAACAATTCCCAGATTGGAGCTATGCGGCGCCGTCTTAGCCACTGAGATTGCAGAAGTCATCTTGGAAGAGATAGACCTGCGACCCGACTCAATCAGGTTTTTCACAGACAGCAAGGTCGTGTTGGGCTATATTCACAATCAGTCAAAACGCTTCTACGTCTTGGTGAACAATAGAGTACAGCGCATCAGACAGTCCACCCAACCTGAACAATGGCATTACGTGCCGACCGAACAGAACCCTGCAGACCGTGGCTCACGTTCCGTCGCTGCCTCAAAGCTCAGCAGCACCACGTGGCTTACAGGTCCTGCTTTCCTCCGTCTTCAGCCCAAGCAGCTCCCAGAAGAGCATGCCGTGTTCGACCTAATCGACCCAGGCTCAGATGTGGATGTCCGCCCTGATGTAAACGTCCTCACCACCGTCATCTCTGAAAAAAACATAGGCTCAAAGCGGTGGGAATGATTCTCCAACTGGAAGGTCCTCGTCAAAGCAGTAGCTCATCTGCTTCACATCGCTCACTGCTTCACCCATGCAGCAGACGTCGGTGATTGTGTCGGCTGGCACGTCTGTAATCAAGTCAAAACCAAGGATTCCCTTGAAAGAGCCGAGAATATCATCTTAAGAGACATAGAGCATGGTGTATATTCAAAGGAGTTAAAATGCATCACTGCAAAACGGGACCTCCCATCTCACAGTTCACTCCTGAAGCTAAAACCCACTATTGACAGCAATGGACTGCTCCGAGTTGGTGGGCGCCTTAATCAGTCAGGATTTGAGGTAAGAGAAAGTAACCCACTCATCATCCCAGGAGGTCATCATGTCACAACTCTTCTTATAAGGCATCACCATGGAAAAGTGCAGCATCAGGGAAGGCATTTTACAGAGGGTGCTATGAGAGCAAACGGGTTCTGGATAGTTGGAGGTAAACGGTGCATTAGCAGCATTATTCAAAAGTGTGTCACGTGCCGGAAGCTCAGAAGTAAAGTAGAGGAGCAGCAAATGGCAGACCTGCCAGCAGAGAGACTGCAAACTGATCCTCCTTTCACCTATGTTGGCTTGGACGTGTTCGGCCCATGGGAAGTGACTACCAGGCGCACAAGAGGCGGCCAAGCAAACAGCAAAAGGTGGGCAGTGCTGTTCACATGCATGTGTACTAAGGCAGTCCACATAGAGGTCATAGAGGAGATGAGCTCCTCAAGTTTCATAAACGCACTCAGAAGATTATTTGCAATAAGAGGCCCTGCCAAGCAACTGCGCTCTGACCGTGGCACCAACTTTGTTGGAGCATGTAGAGAGCTCATGCTGGATGCCCCCGGACAAAGCAAAGTACTGGACTACCTACAAGACCAGAGGTGCACATGGATTTTCAATCCACCGCATTCCTCACACATGGGTGGCGTGTGGGAGCGCATGATCGGCGTGGCACGGCGCATACTCGATGCAATGCTTCTACAATCAGGGTGTGCACGACTTACTCACAAAGTCCTAACCACATTAATGGCCGAGGTCACAGCCATTATCAATGCACGTCCACTGATACCAGTTTCATCCGACCCTGAATGTCCCCACATCCTGACACCGTCCATGCTTCTTACCCAGAAAACGGCAACATTCATGCCCCCTCACGACGACTTCAGTAAAGGCGAGATCTTCAAATTCCAAAGGAAGCGTGTTCAGAGTCTGGCAGACGAATTCTGGAGTAGGTGGCGGAAAGAATTCCTCAGCACCCTACAAACCCGTCAGAAATGGCAGCACAGAAGTCGAGACATTGAAGAAGGCGACGTCGTTCTTCTGAAGGAGAAGCAAGCCAGAAGATACGAGTGGCCAATGGGAGTTGTAGTGAAAGCTGTTCCCAGCAAAGACGGACTGATAAGGAAAGCAGAGGTGAAAGTTGTTCAAGACGGAGTAACCAAGGTCTTCTTAAGACCTATTTCAGAACTGGTCTACATTATTTCGTCAGATCAAGCTGTTTAGTTGTGTGTATTGGTCTCTTAGAGAGACCAGACGGGGAGTGTTCTGGCTCCGCCAATTATTTTGTGTGTTATAGTGACTCCTTCTGGTGACTTCCCGTACTGCATGAAGTAGTTATTTTTAGTTCCCATGTGACAGGAAGTTAGCCTGAGACATTTCAGAATAGCATGTGTGCTCCAGCTAAGGTGGCGTCTGTTCATCCTGTGCCATCCATCATTCATAGCCCTTGAGAAGGCATTTCCTGTAAGTTTTTATGTTTCTACATTATATATCTTTACCTTGAGTGCATTATTGTGATATTTGATCCCAGCTGACATTTTGTAGTTGCTGTATATGCAATATAGCCTAAACATTGCATCTGTACTTTGGCACTGACCTAATTTCATGCCGTCTTGGATATATATCTATGTATACGTAATTATTATGTCATGTAGTTGATATTTACAATTGCTCCTGTTTCTGTATTCCTTCAGTTTCACACTGCTTGCTTAGTAAAGCTTCAAAACATCACCTCGTGGTCCTGAGTTTTACTTTGTGAGAGTGTTTATCTCGCTGGTTAACCGAGAAGGAGATTTCGGCGAGGCCAGTATAACATCCATTCCCATTTTTCATCCTTGTTCCACAATGTTTATCATCATGAAATTAATATCTATATATTTTATACTATACTTGCACTGCTTACCGTTTTCATACTTTATATATCTTAGCATATTCATACACACTGTTCATACTGCTCTCAGGCTGCTGTGTATATCTAGTGTATCCATACCCCTCACTGTTTATTCATCATTCAATTAATTCTATATTTTATTCTGTAGATTGTGTACATTACTTTTCACTTTACTGCTTGTTGCACCTGGTTAGAAGCTAAACTGCATTTCGTTGTCTCAGTACCTGTAATATGTGCAATATCAATAAAGTAGAATCTAATCTTGAGCAGGAACAAATGTATTTACTTAGTACATATCTGACATTAACGATTAAACACATGTGTGCATTCTTTATAAATGCAAACCGAGTCAAACCGACTCCGGAGGTGGCAGTATGCACCTTAAAGTTGTTTGCAATCCGCCAAAAAACCGAGAGAAGAAGAAGAAGAAGACGAAGCCGACTCCGAGCTGTCCGACTTCAGGCGAGCTGTTTGAGACCTCCCCTGGCTGCGATCGGCTATTCTCGTCTACTTTCGAGGCGAGCCGCAACATGTTGTCTGTCCTCAGCAACTACAAGGCTTAATAGAAGACTTGTCCCTACCAGTGTCGGCCATAGCAACACTTCTGGGTGTATCTAAGAAGACAGTCAAAAGGCGCATGCATGAAAATGGCCTTTCCATAAAACGGTCCTACAGTACCCTAACTGATGATGAACTAGACAATTTGGTTCGGTCAGTTAAGGCCAGGACACCACATGTAGGATATCGAATGATGAAAGGAATCCTGAACAATGGCTCGCTGTGTGCAATGGAAGAGAGTGTCTTCATCAATGCATCGTGTTGATTCTGTGGGTGTACTCACAAGAATGGCAAGGATGGGGTGTGTTGCAAGAAGGACATTCTGTTCAGGGTCCTCTGCACTTGGTACACATGGACACAAATCATAAACTCATCAGGTACGTCACACATTTTATGTTTACATGCTATGTACAATAAAGGATAATAGAGTACAAATTAAAAAAGTTATGTTTTAAAATGCCCTGTCACAGTTGTTTGCATAAGAAATAACAGACACTAAAAGTGATTTTGTGTTGTTTTTCAAAGATATGGTCTTGTTATTTTTGGAGGGATTGATGGCTTCTCACGGAAGGTCATTTTGTTTTCACAAATAACGATTATTTATAAGTCAGATAATGACAGTTATTGGTTAATAACTAAACCTGATGCATGATTTACAGTTCCTTTCAAAGTATCTATATTTTTAGTTTGTATCCATCTTAAACCTTGTAGCAAGAATGTCTGGTGTTGGTTTTTAAACACATTTAGAGATCTGCTTTTATTTATTCTGCTTAATAATTTTCTCTGCTGCAGATCATGTACCTGGGTGCTGCCACTAATAATAAAGCATTGACTTCACTTGACTTCTTCTTAGAGGGTGTGCAAAAGTATGGCTTTCCATTAAGGTAAGGCCAACATTAGGTGTGGCTCCCTGTGATACTCTTTAGTAACTTGGGCCTTATCTGTCATTAAAAGATGCATAATGGTTTGTATAACACTTACAATGATCAATGTTTTGATCGCTGAAATGACCCGAGAATTATACACAACTGAGTCAGGAAGTAACTACGACCCTCGAAATAAATCTGAGTGAAACCAACCTCAATCTGTCCAAAGCCCTATTGATGATCAAATATATATATAGAATACTTGATGACTAAGTCACCTCTGTCTCTCCAAACAAACCATGTTTAGGATTATTTGCATTATACCATTACATATTCATTTTTGACCTGTATTTAAAAAACGATAATAATAATAAAAATAACTGGCCTATTTTCTTCGACATAAAGAAATCTTAAAAATGCCATGTCATAACTTTTTGTAATGTTTTATTTCATGTGTGTGATTCATCTTTTTAAGAGTAAGAGCCGACCAAGGAGTGGAAAATGTTGACTATAAGGGGCTGTGGAAGGGGAAGCTTCCTGTCAGGGAAAAGTGTGCACAATCAAAAGGTACATTCTTTGAAGTAATGTCAAACAATGACAAACACAAAGCCATCATTTGTGAATGTACTGTGCTTTGTCCAATTTGAGTGTAATTTGATGATTTTTATTTGAACAGAATCGAACGTTTGTGGCGAGATGTTTGGATGGCTGTTTCAAACGTGCACTACGAGGTTCTTCACAGCCTCGAGGATGAGGGTGTTCTAGATCCTTCTGATAGCATCCACATGTTCTGTGCCCAGCATGTATTTCTTCCGCGTCTTCAGAGGGATCTCAATGTCTTCAGGATGGGTTGGGATAATCAGCCTCTAAGGACAGAGCTAAATGTGTCCCCACACCAACTGTGGACAATGGGACTCCTCCATAATCCTATTGATGTTCCAGACCTTGCAGAGGTAGGTACTCATTACATGTTTATTTCAAGCAAAATTGTATCAACATAATTTTGGCCAGTGTTCTCAAACTATTTCAACTAAAATATATTAGACCAAAGTATTGTGCTTAAAACAGCTTAACAAAATTAAAGGAACTCCATTAAACTTATATTATGAAAGAAATTGGCATTGCCACTGTATGTTCGCTGTTCATTACATTAGTATTGAACCTTTGGGCTAGAAACAAATTATATTTGTCATGTTTCAATGGAATTTACAATCACTAGCATCAAATAAATGAAAGATAGATATTTTTCTTTAAAATTGCATAAAACTTGCTTACTAATGTAAAATGCAAAGCATGGGACTGCACTTGAAATGCATTTTGTAAGACCTCAAAATCACCTCTTTTGATAGGTGTACCGTTGAAAAGGCAAAAAAGTGTTTCATTTGTATTCTTTACATTCTCTAGTGTTTGTGGTGCTTAAAGTTATTCTTGGTCCCCTAAAACCCATGACTGATATTTAATTGTTATCAAGGAAATGGAGGATGCAGATCTTGATTTCAACACTGCCAGTGAGCCAGATGAGACCAGTTCTGGAGTGATTCTTCCACCTGTTGAAAGTCCCCTCAGTGAGCAGGATATGGCAGGACTTTTGGCCAATATTGATGTTACAAGACCATCTGGGTCCTACGGCCGAGACATTTATTTAGCTGTATTGAACCATGTACTAAATCATGCATCCTAAATGCAAACATGTTTAACCACGTGTAACCACACCAGCCCAGGACCTCCACATCCAGCATGTTCACCTCCAAGATCGTCTGAGACCAGCCACTCGGACAGCTGCTGCAACAATCGGTTTGCATAACCAAATAATTTCTGCACAAACTGTCAGATACCGTCTCAGGGAAGCTCATCTGCATGCTCGTCGTCCTCATCGGGGTCTCGACCTGACTCCGGTTCGTCGTCGTAACCGACTTGAGTGGGCAAATGCTCACATTCGATGGCGTCTGGCACGTTGGAGAGGTGTTCTCTTCACGGATGAATCCCGGTTTTCACTGTTCAGGGCAGATGGCAGACAGCGTGTGTGGCGTCGTGTGGGTGAGCGGTTTTCTGATGTCAATGTTGTGAATCGAGTGGCCCATGGTGGTGGTGGGGTTATGGTATGGGCAGGCGTATGTTATGGACGACGAACACTGTGCATTTTATTGATGGCATTGTGAATGCACAGAGATACCGTGACGAGATCCTGGGGCCCATTGTTGTGCCATTCATCCACGACCATCACCTCATCTTGCAGCATGATAATGCACGGCCCCATGTTGCAAGGATCTGTACACAATTCCTGGAGGCTGAAAACATCCCAGTTCTTGCATGGCCAGCATACTCACCGGACATGTCACCCATTGAGCATGTTTGGGATGCTCTGGATCGGCGTATACGACAGCGTGTTCCAGTTCCTGCCAATATCCAGCAACTTCGCACAGCCATTGAAGAGGAGTGGACCAACATTCCACAGGCCACAATCAACAACCTGATCAACTCTATGCGAAGGAGATGTGTTGCACTGCGTGAGGCAAATGGTGGTCACACCAGATACTGACTGGTTTCCAGACCCCCCCAGACCCCCCCAATAAAGCAAAACTGCACGTTTCAGAGTGGCCTTTTATTGTGGCCAGCCTAAGGCACACCTGTGCAATAATCATGCTGTCTAATCAGCATCTTGATATGCCACACCTGTGAGGTGGGATGGATTATCTCGGCAAAGGAGAAGTGCTCACTATCACAGATTTTTTCAGATTTGTGAACAATATGAGAGAAATGGTTATTTTGTGTTTATAGAAAATGTTTTAGATCTTTGAGTTCATCTCATGAAAAATGGGAGCAAAAACAAAAGTGTTGCATTTATATTTGTGTTCAGTGTATATACACATGTGTGCATACTTGTAGATAAACAGCACACAGTATATATATATATATATATATACTGTTAATCTGTTTTTTGAGGTTTTGCTCTCTTGTTACTTTTAACCATACAGGTGTGATTTCATAGTTATTTTGTATGTTATTGTCAAAGGAACAAAATGAGCAACCCTTTATACTTAATTTGATATTCCTCATTATCTGAAGCATTTGTTACTCTCATTTATTTTCCTCCCATAGTGACTGTATGGATAATCGGAGACAGCTATGTCCGGCGTGGAGCCCAGAGAGCTACAGAGACCATCGGCAGCAACCTTGGCCTTGACCTGAGGGTGTGCTGGTTCGGTTGGGGTGGACTGCGCTGGAGAGGTGTCCTCCCCTTCTTTTCCAACTCCCTGCGAGGAAGAGCAGCCCCGGAGGTCCTCCTCATCCACTGTGGCGGCAACGACTTGGGGGATGTGCCCAATGTTCAGTTGCTGAACAAGATGAAGGAGGACCTGCACCAGCTTCACCATCGGCACCCTGGCATGAAGATCATGCTCTCCCAGATAAACCAAAAATAAATAAATGACATTCATATTTTCCCTTCTTTTGTCTACTGCTTACTGAAAATGTTAGCTATCACATCCAAATCCGACTATCAAATGAAGGGATAAGCTAACCATACAATACAGAAAACATTACACATTAAGGCTCAAATCTTTTCCCAAGCCGTAGCAGTCTGAAAAGAGTCCCAAGTTTAAAAACACAAAATCTTGACAATGAATACTACGCTGTCATTTATCAGTGACAATGCAAACAACAAGAAGGTTTCCCCTAATCCCATGTATTTTGGCATCAACTATGTCATAAGCATACCATAGAATGTAATTATGAAGTGCAATACCCACAATCCCTACAGGGTCGTAACATCACAGAAGATAATACCTTTTAGAGAGTTTCGAAATTGTTCAGTATGCAGATAAATATTTGTTTTACAATAGAAACATTTTTCTCAATAAATGTTCCCACATGTTGTGAGCATCAACTTTAAATATTTTGTCTACAAATAAAAAACATCTTAATTTCCTTCAACGACAACATTTTGTTTATAACACCACTACATTAACAATAAGCATAGGAAAATGATAAATGTCAACATTTAAGATTTTGCTTTTACTCTTTATTTAATCAGATCTATTTCACATTGAAAATGTGATAAATACACAAGCCACATTGAAAGTTACATCTTGCATTTTATGAAAAGTAAAGGTTTCGAATCATTTTATGACTTAAGCTGTTAAACCCCAAGCGCCGGCGGGGACCCTGGGTTTTTTTTTCACGACACTGTGTCTCAGGGGATCTTAATATTTAAGAACCTATTAATGTGTTATACCAGATTAACGGGAATAATCTCAGCTAACTGACGATACAAACCATTTTTACCAAAACAAAACACAAGTCTCATAAGAAGCATCTAAATGACCCCTTATGGAAAAATGCTAACGGACATTGGCACAGAACTCAAGATAAAAGTACCCTTATTACTTATCGTAGCTGCACATACAAGATATCCGATTAAAGCTGAGGTTCCACAGATTATTTAGGTATATAGTATCATCACTGAGTGATCCGAACTCGCGACAGGGGAAGCAAACACAGACATCACAACACGTACCTTTACGGAGCTTCTAGGGGAGATCGTCTCACCGTAGCTGTCAATCTGATCAAAATACGTGTTCAATGGCATTAAAACGAGAAAAAACGCGGCTGAATCGGTTAATCCATAGGTTTTTAACGTCTCTGTATAAAAAAATTATTTCATTTATAATCCATAATTCCATTTTTATCTAAAAATCTTAGAGCAAAAGTTAGCTGCTAATGGTAGCCACCAGAGTGGCTGCTGCTTCCGGTCATGGCTATGCGGCAGTCTAACACACACACATATTACCAAATAAGAACTATGTGTGAGTTCCCCTCGATTCTATTGGCTCTGATGGTTAATAAGAGATGTCACATGTCAAAATCCAGCAAGGGGGGCCAGAGATATGGAAAATCCACCGAAATGGCCCCAGAAGAGGTTTTTTTTGCTAAATCTGTCTAAAAAGGTCAGATATCACTTGTTTTGCACCAATCTTGATACATGGTACTTATTATATGTTGTATTTTGGATTCCTAAAGCTTTTGAGGTTCCATCAGTATGTGTACGGACTGAAAGTGGATGTGCAGTCAGACCACAAACCTCTGGAAAGCATTCTGAGAAAGCCGCTTGGAGCAGCTCCTTCCAGACTCCAATGGATGCTCCTCCAGCTGCAGCGATAAGACTTGAATGTCACCTACACACCAGGTAAAGACCTACTGATTGCAGACACACTCTCACGAGCTGTCACACATGATGAACATTCAACAGTTGATGACATCACAGATGAGAAAGTTGTCTATGCTCTGGAGCCAACAGACGCTTTGAGCACTGAGATGCTGCAAAAGCTCAAAAGTGGAACAGCTAATGATGAAATACTACAGCTGCTGCAGGAAACACACAGACAGGGCTGGCCACGACACAGAAAACAAGTACATACTAAACTGGTTCAATACTGGCCTATCAGACATACTCTGTCAGTAATAGATGAGATAATGTTTGCAGGTGACAGGATAATCCTCCTGAGCTCGATGAGAAGCGACATGCTGCAAACATTACATGTGGCTCATCAACATTACATTACATGTCATGTCATTTGTTAGACGCTTTTATCCAAAGCGACTTACATACATTCAGTACTGTGGGCAATCCCCACAGGAGCAATTTGGGGTGAAGTGTCTCAGGGACACAACGACATGCAGTCGGGATTGCAGTGGGATTCGAACTTGCCATCACCTGATTCGAAGTCCAACACACCTCCACTGAGCCACAGCCTCCCATCAAGGAATGCAGCGGACAAAAGCACTTGCCAGAAGGCACTGGTACTGGCCAGGTATGTCAAGAGAGATAGAACAAATGGTCGAGAATTGTGGGACATGTCAGCAGTTCCAGCCCAGAAACCAGAGGGAGCCTCTGATCTCACACGACATCCCTGAGGTCTGTACTACGAAGCAGGATTTTCGCTTAGCGAGCTAACTTCCTGGATTTCCGGTCCTACGACGCTGGTTCACTTTTTAGCGGGCTAGATAACTTATGCTGAACGGCTAGCCTGCGCCGGAGCAGGATAGGTTCCAGGATAAGAGATCAACTTCTTCTTCTTCTTTGCTTTAATGGCGAATCGCTTCCACTTGGAGCATATATCGCCACCTACTGTTGATTTATTTAATGTCCATGTTAAATCCTTGTCCTCAGACCAGTGTTTTTGAGAAACTTGAAGATCAGCTTATCAGTAAATATCTGTATAAACTGTCCATATTATTCATGTTGAACATTGTTCACATAAGCCTGCACATTGATTTTATTTTTCATTGAATGTAGCCGTTTCAATAAGGATACATCTATTACAGGTTGAGGTAGCAACCATGGTGGAACAGCTGATAACAGTGTGCAGAGTTTCAAGCGATCAAGTCATATTACAGGAGAAAGGAAATACAGAAAAGCTGCCGTTGCAGGAAAGACGGCTGGCAAAAATCACAGACTGTGTGAACGTGAACATGAATAGAATATCACCTCCATCTTCAGAGCAATCTGACTATTATAACATTAGCGTTAAGAAAGCTTACTTAAATATCTGCCACAACATAAGTAACCGGATCAAAGTAACATTACGTAGCCTACAGTCAGCGGCACTGTGAGTGCAGACGTCGATGTGTCCCATTATCATTCATATCACATCACATCATAATGTATCATATATCTCCTTATCTGAGTCAGCTGAGCCGTATCTGGCCGTGCAACACTCACAGTGTCACATACTGTATGCAGAAGTATTATTTTAAGCAACACATTAAGTTGATGAAACACTCGAGTCAAATGTAATCAAACTCAGATCGTGTCTTAGACGGGCAGTGATATCATAAACCTGTTAATGTACGCATTCAAACACTTGTTCTGTTACCAGCTGTATTCACCTTGCAGGTGCAGCTATGTGGCTTTGATCCTGGATCAAGTGTTTAAGTCATGGATGTTTAAAGTTTAACTTCTTCATATGTCTAATATTATAGTTGACTTTTCATTCAGGAAGTATGACGTGCTGCGCTGTCAGTACGCGGCTTGTCCATTTTTGTGATTGGTCGATCGCCCCAAATACCGTTCCTCTTATGTGAACGCGCACCTAACTAGATCGGACAAAGCTGGCTTGAATTAACGAGTTAATAGCCAGCGTCGTAGGACAGCTTAGTGAGAGCGGGTTTGTTTTGGATTAGGTCAACCGGCTAACTCAAACATATCCAGGTTATGTTGAACTAGATTCGTAGTACAGGCCTCTGAGCTTCCTTGGCTCAAAATAGGGGCTGACATCTTTGAAATAAAAGGACAATCATTCCTATTGATGGTCGACTACCTGTCAAAATATCCTGAGGTGCTTAACATTAACGACAAGACTTCACATGCTGTCATTAAGAAAATGAAATCAGTCTTCTCCAGGATAGGAATACCAAAAGAGATAGTGTGTGACCATGTCCCATTCGCGAGTCAAGAAATGAGGAACTTTGCAGAATCATGGGGCATAAAACTCACTCATTCCAGCCCAGGCTATGCACAGTCCAATGGTCTGGCTGAAAGGACCGTACAAACTGTTAAACATATTCTTAAAAAAGCACAACTAACGAACACAGACCCTCATCTTGCCCTGCTCATCCTGAGAAACACACCTGTAACAGGCATGCAATACTCACCCGCACAAATGCTCAGGGGGAGAGTGCTAAGGAGCACCTTACCGAGCTCCACGTGGTGCTTCAGCCTGCTGTGCCTAAGGATGTTCACTCGACTCTCGAGAATCTACAGAGGAGGCGGCAGCAGTATTATGACAGAGGAACAAGCCCGCTTCCTGAGCTGCAACCAGGAAGTACTGGTCACATGGAAACTGAACAGGGTTGGCGTCCAGCTTTGGTCACTGCACAGAGAGACAAGCCACGTTCCTATGATGTTGTCACATCTTCAGGTCAGCACTACAGGCGCAACAGGAGACATCTGAGGAAAACACCACACAACGCCCAAATGGACTCAGAACCTGACTTACCTGAAGATAATCAACTATGCACGCCAGATGCAGACACGTCAGAGACTGTTGAATGTGAAATGTCATCACCGCAGAGCACAAGAAGAACCAGATGTGGCCGACTGAGACATACAAAGATTTCCTAATTAGCTCAGGCTAAAGGTTGTGTTAAGACAGAGTTAATACATTAAAATCCTTACTCTATTTGCAACAACAACAACAAAAAAAGAGAGAAGAGTAAGGTTGTATGTGTTGTTTATATACAGGATTCATGTTTATATGAGGATGTTGGAGTGATATACACTGATTCTAATTTGACATTGACGAGATATCCTTCCCTCATACAAAATATAATTTCATATATTCGTATGTTAACAAGTGAACAATGTTAATATTGAGACCGTTATAGAATGTTTACTACAGCAAATGTTATATGCAACTTTCATTGTAAGAAAGGAGG